TTCTGAATGAGCTGCAGAGGTCGAATGGCGGTGGCAGGGAGACCAGCCAGGAGGGAGTTACAGTAGTCCAGGCGTGAGATGACAAGAGCCTGAATCAGTACCTGCGCTGCCTTCTGAGTGAGAAGGGGACGTATTCTCCTGATGTTGTAGAGTGAGTATCTACAGGATCGCATTGTCGCGGTGATGTTGGGAGTCAGGGAGAGTTGGCTGTCGAGTGTGACGCCGAGGTTCTTAGCGGTCAAAGTGGGCGTTAGTACGGAGTTCCCAAAGTTGACTGTCAGGTCCTGGGTAAGCGAATCTTTTCCGGGAAAGAGAAGTAGTTCAGTCTTGTCGGGGTTGATTTTCAGATGGTGGGCAGACATCCACTGGGAGATGTCAGTTAGACAGGCAGAGATCCGAGCCGCCACCTGGGTGTCCGAGTGAGGGAAGGAGAGAATTAGTTGGGTTTCATCGGCATAGCTGTGGTAAGAGAAGCCATGCGAGCTAATGACAGCGCCAAGAGAGTTAGTGTAAAGCGAAAACAGGAGGGGACCCAGCACGGAACCCTGAGGAACTCCAGTAGTAAGAGGACAAGGTTCCGACACAGATCCTCGCCAGATTAACCCGGTAGGTGCGGCCGTCGAGGTAGGACGAGAGAAGGGAGAGAGCAGAGCCTGTGACACCAAGTTCCTGAAGGGAGGAAATAAGGATCTGGTGGTTGACCGTGTCAAATGCAGCAGAGAGGTCCAGAAGGATGAGGACAGAGGAGAGAGAGGCGGCTCTAGCAGTGTGAAGTTGCTCTGAGACAGCAAGGAGAGCAGTCTCTGTGGAGTGGCCTGCCTTGAAACCTGCTGGTGGGGGTCAAGGAGGTTGTTACAGTGGAGATAAGAGGAGAGTTGATTAAAGATAGCACATTCAAGGGTTTTGGACAAAAAGGGAAGAAGAGAGACCGGTCTGTAGTTGTTTTCTTCAGATGGGTTGAGGGTGGGTTTCTTCAGGAGAGGGTTGACTCTTGCCTCCTTCAGAGAATTGGGAAAACAGCCAGATAACAGAGCGTTGTTGATGAGACAGGTGAGGAACGGAAGAAGGTCAGGTGCGATAGATTGTAGAAGATGTGATGGAATGGGGTCAAGAGGGCAGGTGGTCGGACGGGCAGAGGTTACTAGGGTAAGAATTTGGTTAGGAGAGAGGGCGGTGAAAGAGGAAAGTGAGGGCGAAAGAGGTGAGGTCGGTGGGACGCGAGAAGTAGGAGGTGGGTTTGAGAAGGAGGAGCGTATGTCAGCTATTTTCTTGGTGAAGTAGTTGACAAAGTGTCCCGGAAGAAGGGTGGAGGGGGGAGGAGGGGTAGGGGGTTCGAGGAGATTGGAGAAGATCGAGAAGAGTTTTTTGGGGTTAGAGAATGAGGATTCGATTTTGGATTGGTAGAAAGAGCTTTTGGCAGCAGAGATAGAAGCAGAAAACGAGGAGAGGAGAGATTGAAATTCAAGCAGGTCGTCAGGTCGTTTATATTTACGCCATCTCCTTTCCGACGCTCGCATGGTGGCTCTCATGGCACGGACCGGTTGAGACAGCCACGGAGCCGGAGGGGATTTGCCAGTCCGTCGTGTCGTAAGAGGGCAGAGAGAGTCTAGAGAGGAGGAAAGAGTTGAGAGGAGAGTCTCTGCAGCAGCGTTCGGATGCAAGAGTGAGAAGGAATCAGTTGAAGGGAGGGCTGATAGAACAGAGGATTCCAGCGAGGAGGGAGAGAGGGAGCGAATATTGCCACGAGCCGGTATAGAGTTATTCAATGAGGGAGGTTTGTTAGTTATAGAGAGTGGAAGGGAGTAAGAGATGAAGAAGTGATCAGACACATGAAGTGGAGTTACAGAGAGGTTAGTGGTAGAGCAGTTTCTAGTAAAGATGTAGTCAAGGTGATTGCCGGCTTTGTGAGTAGGAGGAGAGGGACTGAGTGACAGAGCGAAGGAAGAAAGTAGGTGTAAGAGTTCTAAACATGGTAGTAGATATACCAGGTTGCACACCGCTCGGTGTATTGTCGTAAACAAGACGTTTTCTAACAGCCCTGTAAACCTTGCTGACGCTGTCTCTCTGGATAGATTTGTCAATCTGACTAAACACTTTTTGCAGAGCGGGCCAGTCACACCACTGAACAAAGAACACGAGGGGGAACCATATATTAAACTCTTCAATGGTAAGAGGGTACGGATGCTCTCTCCATCCTCGGCGGCCTCTTTGAGCTACCACATACTCTCTGTCTTCACAAACATTTTAAAAAATGAAATCGTCAGGACGTCTGTTATACCGATCTGCCATGAGATGGTGTATTTCAGGCCCTGTTGTACTATACCACTGAACAGAGTATAGAGATTTTAGAAAACCTGATTGTTCAAGATCTATGCAGACAATTGATCGAAACTGCTGCCAGTCTTTTACAGACATACACCCATGTCGACCCCCCACAGCAGCCTCATCATCAACTGTTTCACCAACATCCCCTCCTAGCTTGTCTTGGGCCTTGATTCTAGAAATCATCGTGGCCGTGCCATCATAGTATTTAACATTATACACGTACCCATAAACACCCTCCAGCTCTAGCTCTACAGCAGGCTCTCTAGAAAGACATCCCTCACGCTTTTCCCGGCGCTGGGGAGCATCTACATCTGCATAGCATGGTCTATTTTTTGTAGACATACCTATGTCAGTCTCTGGGGCCTGCTCCATGCGATATGCAGCCTGCATTTTGCAAAGAATCCGTGTGCACAGCAATAGTAGCGGAACCAGCAACAGCAGCAACAGCGCATTAGTCCAAAATGAGTGCGTTGGTAGTGGAGGCGAATAACACATCTATATATATGATGAAACCCCTCCTACAGTGCCGTGTTTCCGGTCAAAACTAACGCCCACCGCATAAAACACCCTAACCCCCTACAAATCACGCCCCAAAAATGACGTATTTCCGTTTCCACTCGTAAAATGACGCATTTCCGGGCATGACCTCAAAATGGCGGCAGTTACGCTCACTTCCTGTGCACGCCCTCTTGCACATGCATGAGGTCAAAGGTCACATGCCCACCCCACCCCTCCTACCCCCCAAAAGTAGGTCTTTATTACTACTCATGCATGTTCATTGTCCATTTGATTTCAATATCAGTAAACAATTGATTTAAAGCTGTTGTCCTGTCATTCTTCAAATGGATGTGTAATGTTTCCTAGTCATAATTTTGGCCTTTAACTGGTATCGTAATAATTTGTCCTGTGTTTACACTCTTCTCATTATTACCAAAGTTGTGGACTTAAAGCTGCACAAATCAATATTTTCTATTAAAATCAGATCATAGTTGTGTTGAAGGAGGTTGGTGGTGGTGGAGAACCAACACAGAAATCCTCTCCCAATCTGTAAGAGGAACATTTTAAATTGTCACACAAATGACTACCATATAGATCTTTTTTTTGCAAAATGTAACAATGGGAGCTACACAGAATAAACCTGTAAGGGGAGGCATAATGGACCTCAGGCTGAAATTTGATAACCAAATCAAAGGTGGACTGTAGAGACACGTGCAGTCTGTGTATGTTCAGTGAAAATGTTTGCACCACACACTCTATGGGAGATGTGTAAAGATCTGTGTCATGCCGGACTTTTCACAGCTCTCACTAAATTGGTATTTTAAACCTGTGATTGATACGTGTAGGCCTGCTGCCTTTGTATCTTGAAAATACAATTGGTATTACAAATCCTCTGTGTAAGAGCCATTTTGTTAGTGTTTGTTAGCTCCAGCTTCAATTAGGTCGCAAGGTCATATAATCAGGAGGGTTACCACCTTCTTCTTCTTTTGTTTTTTATGGTGGTTGGCAGAAAACGTTCGGGTGCATTACCGCCACCCACTGATTTGGAGTGTGGACTTAAATTAAACCTCTATTTCGAACTAAAACCAAATAAAAAAAATAAAAAAACACAACTCTCAAATTCTATTCATTAGTCTTGTATTCTCTAAATATGCCAAAAGAAGTTCCCAACACTTATCCCTAAAGCCCTTCTTTAGGGACAAGTGGCTTATATTTGCCTCTCCCAGCTCTTTAAAAAAATGGCCATTTCCTTAACTTGTCATTACCCTCTCCTCTTTTCTCTTTCTTCCATAGCTCCTGCACTCCCAACCAATGGTTTATTTTTAAACAGATATCTTCCTTTGCTCCCTTTTTTCCATTCATTCTGCCATATCGTTTAGATTTGTCCCTTAATCACCACTTTAGCTTCTTTCTTACTCATCTTTATATCGACTATATTTCTCCCACTCTTCAGCACCCTTTTTGCAGCTTTGTCCGCCTCCTCATTTCCATCGACTCCAACATGGGCAGGGACCCACACAAACCTAACTGCCATCCGCCTTCACACAACAGAGCCGTGTGCAAAAGAAGGCTCTGTTGTCTGTTCTGAATGTTAGATGTAGCCACGCCCCCTGATTTGTATATAAGAACGTGAAATGTAAAACGGCATTATGAAATAAGCCTCTGGAAATGAAAAGTGCCATTATGATATAAAAGTACCATGAAATGAAAAGTGGCATTATGAAATAAAAGACTCTGGAAATGAAAAGTGGCATTATGAAATAAAAGTACCATGAAATGAAAAGTGGCATTATGAAATAAAAGTACCATGAAACAATTAAAAGTATTTAATACTTATGTATTTCTTGCCTCATTTATTTATTTCATGATGTATTTCAAATGCAAATTTCATGTATTTACGTATTTATTCATTTATTTAATTGTGACTAAAACGGCATTCATAGTAAACAAGCCCAAAGTTGAATAAGATTATCCACCACTTTATTTTAATAAACCAGCAGCTCGAGATTTAAATGCACACGTGGATTATGATTAATAATAATTAAACAATTACAATTAAAAACATGTCGAACAGGATCGGGGGGTGCAGTTGCACCAAACAAGTTCCTTTTTTTTTACAAAAGTACATCCCGGAGGCCCTCCTACATCCTGATCGGATCAGAGTATAAAGCTTCATCCCTTTTGCCCTCTCTGCCTCTCTGCTTCTCTCTTCGCTGAATAGTTGCAATATTTGTCTTTTTTGTTTGTTTTCTACTTTGCAGACAAAATGCCTTTAGAGTTCGAGCTGTGTCCCGGTCGGATGATCGGAGGAAACCACCCGTGCTTCATCATCGCTGAAATTGGACAAAATCACCAGGGAGACATTGAGATTGCCAAGAAAATGATCAAGATGGCAAAGGTAAAACAAAAAATCCTCAGCACAGTTTTGCCTTGTTTTGCCAGTGCACGTTATCATTAATTTCCTGGAAATATCCACAGACAAGAAATATGTCAAGACGATATGTCAGCTATTTTTGTTCCCATGTTACACGAAAAATATTGACAACGTTATTTCAGTTTAGAATGTGAACTTTATTCCCCATTTATGTTGCTTAACATGCCGCTTTTAGCATGATCAGTACACCTTGTTGAAAAAACAACCACTTGGAAATAGATTATGATAATTATCAGGCACATGCACAGACATGTGATGCTAAAACCAAAACGAAACCCATCGACAAAATTATTTATTAAATTAGAAATAATAATAATGAATAAATAATTAAATAAAACAAGGCTTCCGCACAATAAGGCGCATGGGATACTGCAGTCTATCAGCGCAAATCAATGTCAAAATTCGAGAGCGCAAATCAGGTTGATGCGCGCGCGTAAATCAAACATCCGCCAGCAAAAGTCCGTCTCGCGCGACCAAAAGTCCGTCTCGCGCGACCAAAAGTCCGTTTTCTACGCTCTCGGTGTTGTTCTTTTCTGACAGTGAGGGTGCTTTCAGGGTCCGATCGATACTGCGAGGTGCGTCCGCTCCCGCCGCCCCCCTCGCCATCCACGCCTTAAATCTTCGGCTCCTTTTAGAATAACTTATTTCCCCGTTAAGATGGTTCAGCTACTGTAAAGAAAAGAGCACCGTCTCTCGCTCTTTAATCTCATGAAGTGCTCGGCAAGAACGACAGCTTTGTTTCTCCGACGCGCCCTGAAACAAGCTCCATATCTCACGCGCTTGAGCGCCGCTCAGCATCTCGCCGTCGTAGACGAGCTTTGGCCTGTTTGCCAGAGCGCCTTGAGCGCCGTGTACAACCAGTATGGATCAACCGATTAACCAATCTGTTCGTTTAAATTGTTTGTGCTTCATCAATTAATGTTTCACATAACTAATGTGCCGCATCATACATATTTTTATATTAATTTCAAACTTTTCAAAATTGAAAATTAAAAACGTTTTATTTATTTATTGTAAATGACCTCTCACGGCCCACCTGCAGTACCATCGCGGCCCACACTTTGGGAATCGCTGGTATAAACAAATAATATGTTAAATAATCAAAAATATTCTAAAACTCGGCTCTGAATAAATTAAAGGACCGGAGCATCCTACTGGTGTCATCTATTGGAAGATGTTTACTGTTTTCTTTTACAGTTGAAGCATGAGCAGCATTACACCACTAATATACCACAACATACCTCACCAGACTGTCATGTAGCTCAACTTAAGGCCTACCTTTCATTTCAATAATTGTGTATTAAACAAAACTAGTGAACTCATTTGTAGATCAGTAAAACTGCCGTTAAATTGCCTATCTGTCTGTCTCTCTCTCTTCATTAAACATGACACACAACTGGACAAAGCTTTGAAATCACGGATTTCGTGAGTTTTTTGTTTGTTTATTTTTTAGGAAACGTCGGACCAGTTACGACCTAATTTTCAGCGGCGCTAAACTTTAGGTTAATTTATCGCTAAACAACGTCGGGAGTGGGGTTGCACAAACACCGGCACCTGCGCCTCTGATGCTGCAGCCGTTTGGCGCTCGGCACTAAGAGAGGCACATTTCATTTTGAAATGCGGTCCGCATGACCGCAGTGGAGAGGGGGTTCACGGTCGCGGAATGGCGCGCAACCCCCCATGACCAGACCATCGCCGACGATTTGGCCGCGACGGTGAAGGCGGCGGGGTGGGGGGGTGCGCGGTCAAATCCTCGGTGATGGTCCGGTCAAGGGGGGGTTGCGCAACGTTTCGCGCCCGTTAACCCCCCCCGCATGATTTCAACGTGGACAGTATGTGGCCCCCTTCCTAAAATAAGTTTGACACCCCTGCTCTATAACAAGAGCTAATTCATCCGGACTTGCCAGCTTGTCTTGCCGCGGCGTGAATTACCGTAATTATTGTAATGTTCAGTCGTCAAGTCTTAAATGTTAAATGTAGAGCTAAATGTAGACTCTACATTTAACATTTACATTTAGATTTAACATTTACATTTAACATTTACATTTAGATTTAACATTTAGATTTACATTTAACATTTAGATTATTTTTTATTTAATAACTTTGTTACTGCCAAACATTATCCTTGGAAAAGTTATTGCATGAATGTACATGAATTTCTCTCTAAATGTTTGAAGAAGTGATATGTGAATATTGTCGTGCTTTTTTGTTTATATGATAATGCTAAATGTAGCAAAACTGCGCAGCATTTTAGAACGTGCGACATTTTACAAACGGCGCCCATACTTTTTATTCCCTTATTCACTCGTGCCTTCACAGGACTGCGGTTCGGATTGTGCCAAATTTCAGAAGAGTGAATTGGATCATAAATTCAACAAGAAAGCTTTGGAGCGCCCGTACAATTCTGTTCACTCCTGGGGGAAAACTTATGGTGACCACAAACGCCACCTGGAGTTCAGCCATGAGCAGTACAAGGAACTGCAGAAATATGCTGATGAAGTGGACATCTTTTTCACTGCGTCTGGGATGGATGAGGTAAAATAGAATAGAATAGCCTCTATATGGTTTTGATCAGGTTGAAGTTTAACCATATATGTTGTTTTTGTCTCCAGATGGCAGTGGAGTTCCTCCATGAGCTTAATGTTCCTTTCTTTAAAGTGGCCTCAGCAGACAACAGCAACTTCCCCTATTTGAAGAAGACTGCCAAGAAAGGTGAAAATGACCCGTCACATGTGCGAAATGTTTCAAGAATGAAGTTCTATTAGCAAATGTATTTAATATTAAATATTCAAGGGCTGAACTCATGACTGCTCTTTTATAAGCATTCCATAAACAAATTGTATATATTTGGAAAAACAATCAAAACCAATACAAGCAGAACAAATGCATCCATGAGTATTTAAAAATAAAAATAAAAATGTAACAACTTTGTTACTGCCAAACATTATCCTTGGAAAATGTATTGCTTGAATGTTCATGTTGTTCACTAAGAGGAAGGGGAAGTACTGCATTTCCCCCGTCGTCCATGTTGGACGTAACGGTTGTCCTCCTGTTTGTGTCAGGACGGCCCATGGTTGTATCCAGCGGGATGCAGAACATGGAGACGATGCGTCAGGTCTACAAAACCGTGAAGGAGCACAACCCAAACTTTACCATCCTGCAGTGCACCAGCGCCTACCCTCTGGAAGCAGAAGATGTCAACCTCAGAGTGCTAACGGTGAGGAAAGTAGAGTAGATTGCAGCATCACTCTGATATCAAAAGGTTGGATGCAAAAACAAGATGTCAACCAGTAAGAGTTGTCAAATGGTCTCGGTTTCAGCAGGTGCTCATTTAGGAGCCCTTAAGATATCACACACCTCATTGCGCTTTGTCTTTTTAGAATATATCATTTAGCACTTAGAATAATTGAAATGAGTCTTCCCTTTTTTAGGCCCATATATCATTTATACTTTCTTAAGAGGTCAATGATGCAATGTGTAATGCCTGGGTAACATTTTTGAAGGAATGGAGGCAGCTTCTCACCTCTACTGCTGCGTCCATACAAATATATCAATATATTTACGGCAGAAACATGCACAATTCAGCCTACCAAGGGCCTGAGAGTTGTTCTTGGCACTTTAATGTGGCATGTTAATTTAGGAAAATATCTGCCATTACCAGGATTTAGATTATTCATGAATATTTTTTTTGTTAGGATTAAACTAACAAAATATGAAGCGTTAAATTTTAGAGTTGCTGGTAGGTAGATTTGTTTTCAATGAGCAGAGATAAACTTAATTCCATTACTTTGATTTATATTGTAATATTAAACATTGGATGCATACTCAAAAAGGCACAATATTTGATTTTCATTTGGAAGTACTCAGTTTCCAAGCATGTCATATCAGTTATGCTAAGCTAAGCTAACCAGCAGCTGGCTCTAGCTTAAAATGAATTTACAAATGTGAAATATATTGTCAATCTTTCCAGAAATGTAAGAGTAACGCTCAGCCACTTGTAAACTACAGGAGTACCAGAAGGAATTTCCCGATATTCCCATTGGGTATTCCGGCCATGAGTCTGGGATCGTTATTTCTGTTGCGGCCGTAGCAATGGGTGCAAAGGTCGTCGAGCGCCACGTGACCTTGGACAAGACCTGGAAAGGAAATGACCACGAAGCCTCTGTGGTGCCCAGTGAGCTGGCCGAGTTGGTTCGCTCCATCCGGCTGGTGGAAAGGGCGCTGGGCAACGGCGTCAAGCAGATGCTTCCTTGTGAGAAGCCGTGCCATGATAAGGTGAGATATTCTCGCTTCACTGGAGAGATACAAGTAATGTGAGCCATTGGAAAATTACATCTCTAAAAGAGCAAACTTTTAAGAGTACTACTCTGCTCCATTAGGTTAATAATAAGGCCTGTTTTTTAAAAATGTATTTGCTTCCAGCTTGGTAAGTCCTTGGTGGCTAAGGTCAAGATCCCCAAAGGAACTGTCCTGACTCAGGACATGTTGGCGGTGAAGGTGGCCGAACCAATGGGCATCCCCGCCGAGAACATCTTCAAAATGGTTGGAAAGAAGGTCAAAAAGGACGTGGAGGAGGACGAGAGCATCTTGCCAGAGGTGGTGGAAGGGTACTGCAAGAAGAGCAACTGCTAATGGTGGCCGGGAGCTTATAAATTGATTTAAAAAAAGGCATATTTGAGAGGAAATGTTAATTCTTCTGGGAATGAGGGTCATCTTATTTGGTGGTGCTGGGATTTCTAACATCAAAGTACTGGACTACCAGTGGCTGAGCAATGGGTTAGTCCTGTGTTTTAAATGTATCCCAGTTGTGGTTTAAACAGTTAACCCTTTTGCCCCCCAAAAAATCATCTCTATTTCAAAAGATCTGCGTCCTGACGACTTTTCCCAGGACTTATTCAAAAATTGTTTTTTTGTGAGTACATAAAGGGATGTAGGCCTGCTCACAACTTTTATCTTGGAAATAAAATTGGTGTTAAAAAACCTCTGTGTTCTGGTTTGTCAAGGCACTAATTAGAAGCATCTGTTCCGTGTTTTCTTGTGTGATTTGGGATGGGCGCATGTAGGATATTAGAAACAAATTGACGACCCGGTTCATAAAATTAATAAAAATGCTTATATTTTTGAACACAACACGCACGATATGCTCTTTTTACCCCAAAATGTTGTCTAATCAGAAAACGTCACAGGGATCTAATTATTGTTTTCCATCAGCTTTCATGTTGGCTATATTGCGTGGTATTTGCGTATGCACTTAAAGGACAATGGTCGCGTGACAGTGGCTGCCCATAGCCACGTGTCCAGGTGACCGACCGGTCGGACGGGATCGGCCGGACCGGCCGGTGCAGCTGGACACGTCGGCTCCTCCTCGACCGCTGATCCACATGGCGCTGTTTTCTGATTGTTAAGAAGATCCGGATTTGACGCACGTACACAACGCGGAAGTCCTCCCACATCCGGGATGTGCAGCGCATGAACTGGTCGGGACAGAATAAAGTCTCAGCCACTGCGTGCGCTTCTTCCTTCGCTAAATAGTTGCGATAGTTTGCGCTGTTCTGTTGATTGTTTTCTATTTTGCGGACAAAATGCCTTTAGAGTTCGAGCTGTGTCCCGGTCGGATGATCGGAGGAAACCACCCGTGCTTCATTATCGCTGAAATTGGACAAAATCACCAGGGAGACATTGAGATTGCCAAGAAAATGATCAAGATGGCAAAGGTAAAAATATAATCTAGTAATGCGTGCATTTAATGATGTTAGTTGACAGACTGGATGTAAACACGGGATTTAACCGAACCCCAAAACAATGCAAATATGCGCCGACGCAACGTCTTGGTCGCTATATCGTCTGAATCATGACTTTGAGTACACAATAAACTGGTCAAACTACTGTGCGTATGGATCCCGTAAAGCCTCGATGAGAAAAAGCCTCTGCACAGCCTTGTTTGGCCAGTTAACGTTAATAATTTCCTGCAAATATTCCCAGACTAAAGGCTATCTCTGCTATTCTGGTCCCATGTTACAAGAAAAATAGAGACGTTTGGAATTATTTCACTTTATAAGCATTTGTTGTCTTAAAAAATCGTTTTAGAACAAATCAATGAAAACACTTCAAGCAACTACTTGTTACGCTGGAATTGGATTATAATAATTATAATGAAAAACAACTGAGGTAATTGAACACTATCTCCTATCTCTCATTTAGTACCAAATAGAGCTTTCAATGTCCCTTCCTGTGACTTTAGGGTGCTTTTTGGGACCGTCTGTAGGAGCCCTTAAACCAATCATCAGAATACCTTCTTTTTATTCCCTTATTCACTCGTGCCTTCACAGGACTGCGGTGCGGATTGTGCCAAATTTCAGAAGAGTGAATTGGATCATAAATTCAACAAGAAAGCTTTGGAGCGCCCGTACAATTCTGTTCACTCCTGGGGGAAAACTTATGGTGAACACAAACGCCACCTGGAGTTCAGCCATGAGCAGTACAAGGAACTGCAGAAATATGCTGAGGAGGTGGACATCTGTTTCACTGCGTCTGGGATGGATGAGGTAAAATAGAATAGAATAGCCTCTATATGGTTTTGATCAGGTTGAAGTTTAAGCATATATGTTGTTTTTGTCTCCAGATGGCAGTGGAGTTCCTCCATGAGCTTAATATTCCTTTCTTTAAAGTGGGCTCAGGAGACACCAACAACTTCCCTTATTTGGAGAAGACTGCCAAGAAAGGTGAGAGTGACCCGTCGCATGGGCGAAATGTTTCATGAATGAAGTTCCATTAGCAGTTGAATGTTAAATGACATAAGCAAATAGTATATTTTGTAAAACAAAAACCAATATAAGCAGAACAAATGCATCCATGAGTATTTAAAAATAAGTTTCAAAATGGGAAAAAAATAAATAAAGTAAGCTTGAATGTTCATGTAGTTCACTAAGAGGAAGGGGGAGTACTGCATTTCCCCCGTCGTCCATGTGGGACGTAACGTTTGACAGGCAGTTGTCCTCCTGTTTGTGTCAGGACGGCCCATGATTGTATCCAGCGGGATGCAGAACATGGAGACGATGCGTCAGGTCTACAAAACCGTGAAGGAGCACAACCCAAACTTTACCATCCTGCAGTGCACCAGCGCCTATCCTCTGGAAGCAGAAGATGTCAACCTCAGAGTGCTAACGGTGAGGAAAGTAGAGTAGATTGCAGCATCACTCTGATATCAAAAGGTTGGGTGCAAAAACAAGATGTCAACCAGTAAGAGTTGTCAAATGGTCTCGGTTTCAGCAGGTGCTCATTTAGGAGCCCTTAAGATATCACACATCTCATTGCGCTTTGTCTTTTTAGAATATATCATTTAGCACTTAGAATAATTGAAATGAGTCTTCCCTTTTTTAGGCCCATCTATCATTTATACTTTCTTAAGAGGTCAATGATGCAATGTGTAATGCCTGGGTAACATTTTTGAAGGAATGGAGGCAGCTTCTCACCTCTACTGCTGCGTCCATACAAATATATCAATATATTTACGGCAGAAACATGCACAATTCAGCCTACCGAGGGCCTGAGAGTTATTCTTGGCACTTTAATGTGGCATGTTAATTTTGGAAAATATCTGCCATTACCAGGATTTAGATTATTCATGAATATATTCTTTTGTTAGGATTAAAACAACAAAATATGAAGCGTTAACTAGTGAGTTTTAGAGTTGCTGGTAGGTAGATTTGTTTTCAATGAGCAGAGATAAACTTAATTCCATTACTTTGATTTATATTGTAATATTAAACATTGCATGCATACTCAAAAAGGCACAATATTTGATTTTCATTTGGAAGTACTCAGTTTCCAAGCATGTCATTTCAGTTATGCTAAGCTAAGCTAACCGGCAGCTGGCTCTAGCTTAAAATGAATTTACAAATGTGAAATATATTGTCAATCTTTCCAGAAATGTAAGAGTAACGCTCAGCCACTTGTAAACTACAGGAGTACCAGAAGGAATTTCCCGATATTCCCATTGGGTATTCCGGCCATGAGTCTGGGATCGTTATTTCTGTTGCGGCCGTAGCAATGGGTGCAAAGGTCGTCGAGCGCCACGTGACCTTGGACAAGACCTGGAAAGGAAATGACCACGAAGCCTCTCTGGTGCCCAGTGAGCTGGCCGAGTTGGTTCGCTCCATCCGGCTGGTGGAAAGGGCGCTGGGCAACGGCGTCAAGCAGATGCTTCCTTGTGAGAAGCCGTGCCATGATAAGGTGAGATATTCTCGCTTCACTGGAGAGATACAAGTAATGTGAGCCATTGGAAAATTACATCTCTAAAAGAGCAAACTTTTAAGAGTACTACTCTGCTCCATTAGGTTAATAATAAGGCCTGTTTTTTAAAAATGTATTTGCTTCCAGCTTGGTAAGTCCTTGGTGGCTAAGGTCAAGATCCCCAAAGGAACTGTCCTGACTCAGGACATGTTGGCGGTGAAGGTGGCCGAACCAATGGGCATCGACGCCGAGGACATCTTCAAAATGGTTGGAAAGAAGGTCAAAAAGGACGTGGAGGAGGATGAGAGCATCTTGCCAGAGGTGGTGGAAGGGTACTGCAAGAAGAGAAAGTGCTGATGGTGGCCGGGAGTTCATAGATTGGTAGAAAAAGAATTTAATTTGAGAGATTTGTTATCAATTATTCTGGTACAAATGGTAATTTTATTTGGTGGTGCTTTTCCGACATAGAAGTACTGGACTATTTCAATGTTTCACAGCTTTTTTTATTGTCTGAAAGATGCCTTAACCTAAAACTCCAACTTCATTGATAAACTCACTATAATCTCATAAGGCTCGGTACTAGTGCAACGCTTTCTGGGGTCTAACAAAAGCACTTTGTTAATGTTTAACACACATAGATTGCACTACCTTTTTTTACTGCAATGTAGAGATGAAAGGAACATTGAAGACTTGAAGCTGCTAATGTTCATCTTCTCATGCAATAGTGAGATCACAAAGCCCCTTTGCAACACTTTGTGTAGTAGCTCATTAATTTAAGTTCATATAGTTTGTGTACCTCTTTTGAGAGAAGCACAATGAGACTACTGCAGCCAGACGCTTTCCTAAACTAAAAGAAAATGCCCTTCTCTTTCAATTAACCTTGTTTTTGTCATGAACCGAAATCCGTCCGAATGTAAAATGAACATGTCTGAACCCGTCGCAACTCTTTGGTTCTGAAAAGATGAAGCATCCAAATAAAATGTTGCCAGAAATTCCCTCCTGACGTTCCCTTATTATTTTAAGACTTGTGGTTGTATCCTGTCAAATTACACACTGATTTATTATATATTCTATACATTGCCTTGGAGAATGCACATTATTTTAGATCTGGACATTTTGTATGTGATTGATTGAGCTTGAGCGCTCCATTCACGAGAGATGTACTGCATTGAAAATATTCTTTTCTCAGTCATTGAAGTGAGTAAATGGATGGCTTTATACCTTTATGATTCATCAGACACTAATCCAAAATGTTTGATTCCTGTCTGAAAATACCGTATTCTTCTCGTAAGTCAAACGCAGGTTCTTCTGAATTTGTTTTGTTGCCCTTAACCACAAAACAATTTACCCACAGGTTGTCGACTGCACAGAGGGTTTGCATCACTGCGTCGATTCCTTTCGAACTTTCGCAAGGACACGTTACACCTTGCAAACATCCTCTATGCTGAATCCAGGTCTTCTTAAAGTTCACTGCATCATTTTTTTCCCACATGGGCTGTAGAGTTCTCATTGGATACTGTTATTGAGAAATGAGCACAACGCAATTGATCTTTGTCAAAATCTAAAAAACTGTCCGTTGTGTATACTGAGTAGACCTGTGTTCTTCATCCTCTCGCTGTGTATTTGGTATAGAGCCTTCTCAAAATGTATTAAAAAGCCGAGTTATAATCCACAAATAGTTACCCGAGCGCAGCTCACAGGCGCTTGGAGATGCTGCAAGATGGAGTGCAGACAGAGATTAACCAACCTGTTTGCCCTGTGTGCAAACCGATTTAGATCAAGCACAGCACTGGACAGATGTTAACCCAGATGTTTTATTATTTTCCAGAAATGAAACCTCTGTGCTGGATGTGGATCAGTCAAGTGAGTCTCCAGCTGATTTGGTGTAAACACCATCTGCAGAAGAAGGAACACCTCTGTTATTGCAGGTGTTAATGTTGCACCGGTTATGTTCAGTCTCTTACTAGTAGGCATAGAGCTCATGGAGAGTGCATTAACATGGAAGCTATTTTTAAAAAATCCAAATCCAAGTTTATCAAGGAGAAGGACGTCTTCGAGACGCATTCTTAACTATGCTTGAACAGCACAAAAAGCTTATTAAACATTTGGTAATTTCCCCATAAGTGCCACAATGCTGGATGATAATGTCCCACTGTGTTTCAGCTTCCTACCAACATGCTTATATTTTGACTTATTAATAAAGGAAAACACAAATGAAGCAATGCACTTCAACCACTATAAAGCTGTCAAGTCAAGTGGGATTCATCCAAGCAAAGTGTTTTAACTCCATCCAGCCAGTTTTGTAATGATTTATTAATTTATTGCATTTATTAATGTACATGATCCAGGGAAAGACAATGAACTGTGTCCGGTCCTGCAAGACTGCAAGTAATTCAGTTCTCTGTTAAGGACAGCAGACTTCCCCAAGATTACAAAGTTTTATGTCAGGTCTCTGGTCTCATGGAGGAAGGTGAGCAGTCGGACACATTCGGACACATTTGGGATCTGTTATTGTGTGTGCATAAAGGTTTAATCAAAAGACTGTTTAGATGCTTTTTCAAGTCAACCCTGGAAATGCTTATTGACAAATCTTTATTTTTCTCTACTTTTCATTGACAGTGACTGTTAAATGTACTATACACAAACGTTAGTTTGGTTTAGCTGAATGCTATAGTAACATGTAACATCATCAGGACACATGTAGTGTCCAGTAATAGAGGCCTACGTTTATGTAAAACAGATTTTGATGTTGAGTGGGTTATTTGTACGTAATGGCTCAAACAATTAGAGTACAACAATTTCACTGGTAATCACCCCTTCTGTTTGTGTCAAGAAGCCATGTGCAAGTGGGTGTACTGCAAATTGTAGACATTTGTACATTTGTAATGTTGCTTTTAAAATTTCTCAAAATCTGTTGTGAACAATTAACTAGTGTTCATAGATTTCCAATGTTGGACACAGCCTGAGTGTTTTTCAGTTTATTTTGTTTGAATGTGTGCGAATGACACCGGCTAAAATGTTCTATTCGTAGATTAATTATATAGATCTCAACGATTACCTTGTATGTCCCTGCTCACAGATGGAGGGTCTCTCTCTAACGCGTATGTAACTTAGCAGCTATTCGAGGCACAAGCTTAGCCAATAAGCTGCTGCTGATCCTGGCTTCCAGAGGAACATGTATACCTCTCACTTTTCACTGCCTGGCAGTGCCAATTAGGCTGACATGACAAGTTAGCCACTTCTCACCTTGATACAATTTGAAGTGTGCCACTTGTTGTCTAATGCAAAATCAGGGTTTGCATCTAAAACTCTCTTGGCCACGTTGTGCAAAGGTCTACATCTTTGTATGGTACAGCCATCTCCTATCTAGTCCACCTGTACCCACCTCATTTGTTAACGTAAAACAACTATTATAGCCCTGGTGCACGTCTGTACGCCAAGAAACTTATTTCTATTTGAAGTTTCGCGAGCGATGTAGCTCTAACTAGACGGAAAGTTGGGTTAGCTTGGTTGGATTTGTAAAATGTTTATTTGTATCACAACTGTAAATAGTCGTTAATGTAGCAGCTTCTGCCCAATGCAGAATACTTACTGAGATCAACCACCTCTGCACCCCACCAACCGTCACAACAGGGCCATTGCTTGGCCTTGTTGTCGAAGTATGTGGACTTTATTTAATATGAGGGTCCTGCAACATCTTTTATCAAAGAAATCAAATTTGCATAATTAGTATTTTTTTTGTTTTTTTTGTGTGAGCTTGTCCCAGAGACTCCACAAACTACCTGGAGATACAGCCTGAGGCCATTCCGAAACTCCACTATACTTTATGCAGATTGTTTTGAGTAAAAACTTGATGGAGCAAGACTAAGGAAATGGACGGACTGAAAGAATCAAGATCAACATTTTGCTTGTGGTGTAAAGTTAGCGGTGCAGGCCATTGAGTCTGCTCCTGTTTAGTTGGATGAGAACAGTCGGATGTGAGGAAGGATGGGAAGGTCTCGTTGGACCTAAACCCACCTGGTGCATGTGCTGTATGACGTCCTTCTACCAACAGCAACAACAATGCTGATGTGGTTTTACCATGTCGTCATGCGCAGGGGCAGATTTATCTGTAGATTTAAAAAACGTTGTTGAAACATGGATTTTTTAAATCTGCCATTGCTGAGATTATTCAACTCGGTTGACTTTTAAAACTGCACTACGTCGAAACACACACTCACTGTAAAGGTGGGTTTATGTTAGGGACACACTACTTAACACAACAGGTCACACCTCTTCAACTCACCTTCATGTGCTTCTGAAGATTACAGTTCACTTGTGTAAAGCCTGACCTGATTTGAAGTGAGCACACACACACACACACACACACACACACACACACACACACACACACACACACACACACACGAACATGAAAACATTACATTTTACTTTGTAGTTCTCTAAACTTTTAGCAAACTGCAATATAAAGTCAATTACTGAAGGAACGTTTCAAAATCTGGTTGGAAAAATCAATACATTTATCGTCAGAAAGAAAATGCAGATAATGAGAGAAGAGCTCTGCAAAGGCGTCAATACATATGAACTAAAACCCGAATGAAGTGGTGCACTTGGAAACATTTTCTCACGCCTCTTTCATCACAAAAAAAGAGTAATTCAAAAAGTTTTCAACAGGTGATACACACAATTAACATTCAGCTTTCTTCTAAACTACGCTGCCAGCATGCTTCGTCACAGTGTAATTGGTATAGTTGTCAAGGACTGTGCACAGGCCTATGATCTGATAGGACCACAGGCTTCAGTCCCTTCAGGCTGTAAGCTCGTTGTGTAAGAGGCATTTGCTCGGGTGTGGGGATGGGAAGAAATGATAGATGACGCTAGAGGAGGTGGAGTAAAGTACAAAGTAAGATGGCATTGATCCCTGTTCTTGGACAGGAGAGAAGAGGGAGATATACTGAAGCAGGAGAGGAGGGGGAGGTTTCCTAGGAGGGGGGGAGCATTGAAAGGGAGGGAGGAGCCCATGGTTCCTTGCTTTCTGACCTGGCGTTTGGGAGCTCCACCCTGGCTCAGGGAGGAAAATCTCACTGAGGATTTGCTGTCGGGATCTTCAGACAACTGAGCTCGAAGGACCTCTCTTTTTCAGATTCAATTTTCTGGAATATTCATTCAGAGACTCAAACCTGCAGGAGTCTTGAGCGGGAGATTTCCATGTCTGGTATGAGAAAAATGGGTTATTTTGTGTGTAGCCGTTATGTGTATTTGCTCTAATGTCTTAACAGAGTCCAGCTTGATTCTTTAACTACTACTACGACTTTCACAGTACAATTGCATTTAAACATGTTGGATAAATGTTTTACAGTATTCATTTAGTGTCTCAGATGAACTATGGTGATTGTTTGGATTTATAAGATGAAGTTTTAACATTATAGTTTGTCGCATGAATGTTCATCATTGGTACTTTTTAACTTGTGCAGCTGCATAAGTGTGCAGGGTTTGAAGCTAATCTATATCTACCTCTGGGATTAAATAGCTCCCTAATAAGCTTCCACTAATGTCCAAGCTTCCCTTAAGATAGAGCTCACACCGCAAGTTCTCAGCACAATGACAAGTAAGCTACAGAACTTTAACAGAATCACCACCACTAATTTTGTTTTTAGCAATTCAGGACTGACATAAAAGTTTTTTCAAAACAGCCAAGAGAGAACAATGATGATTTATTTTAGCCTTAAAATATTACCTACATGAAGTCAAAGGCTGGAATCTATCGGCAGCATGAACAAATACACAAAAAAATACTATAATAATTGTAAATGATGTAACAATATAAACAAAGCAGTGGGATGGAAATATGAGAGTAAGAAACCTACTGCTCCCACTGTGTGGGATGGGTTATAAGGATTATTGGATAAAAGCGTCAGCTAAATGACGTGTTACGTAATACATACCACAGGTTAATTATAATAGATGAGTTTTGAAAGTGGCGAGTGATGGAGAATGTCTGAGGTGACGGGGGAGAGAGTTTCAGAGGGAGAGGTTTTTCAGCGGTTGAAAAGGAGAGGTGAGGGCTGTAGAAGGAAAGAACGTTTTTTGTGTTGTGATTGACGTCGTGTTAATCACTAATATTGAAGTGGGGGCGCCAGATTTGGTGGAGATGTAGAGCTGGTTGTCGTCGGCATAGCGGGAAATTATATAAACCCATATCATATGTTTTTTCATTTATAAACATTGTCTGCTGAGAAACTTTAGGTGATGGTTAGATTGTGTGGTTTAAACATTTCCCTCAAATTTTTTAGTAGAAAGAAAAATAGGAATTCTAAATTCTGTTTTAATGAGACCTGAAATAATAGGTATCTTCTGATACCTAATAGGTATCAGAAGTAGAACATGTTATAATCAAGATAACGTATTCAAATGTTATTTCAGACTCTGATTTGTATGTACACAGTTGTAATTAATTGTTGATAGTTGGCTAAAACAATATTTATTTCTGTTTTTCTGTCTTGCAGTGAGTAATATGAGGAATATACCTTTGAATGGGCTAGATCCTGGAATCAGACGGCAGGGCTTCCATTGAGCTTAGACTGGGAAGCAGCATGCTAACAAATCGGTGAACCGCTGCGGCCTGTCAAAGCCCCGTCCTCGTCACCACCTGCACCACCAACCCTGCTTCGGGGGTGACTCCAGACACTTCCACTCAGCCCGACAACCTAGGCCTACGCCATGGATTTCCTTCTACCTATTAGAAGTCGAGACAGGATGGCTTTCTCCAGCTCTGAACCTCTTCTGGGACCTCACAGTAGCTGCACCAGGCACCACTACCATGGCGTCAAAAGAAAGCTGCGGCCCGGACGGATTATGGGCTTTGTTATCAGCATGGTGGCGGTCTGCATATTCTGTTCATGGAGTGCCTTGTCACTGGTCACAGCAGTGGCCAAGGAGCTGGTGTCATCCGCTGAGGGTTCAGCAGATGCGGCGGTGCCCCAAAGAACTCTTATGCAATACCACAACCTCTCAGCCGTCCCAGAGGACAAACCGGTGGCCATGAAATCATCTACAATAGAGATGAATCACGGGGACTACCCAACAGACTTGTTTACCGTGGAGGAGAGACGTCAGGGCTATGTTTGTTTTCATATGTTTGGCATGCTGTACATGTTCATAGCCTTAGCCATTGTCTGCGATGAGTTCTTTGTTCCTGCACTCACTGTTATCACAGAGAAGCTGCAGATATCTGATGATGTAGCAGGAGCCACCTTCATGGCGGCAGGCGGATCCGCCCCGGAGCTCTTCACGTCTGTCATAGGCGTCTTTGTCTCCCACAGTAATGTGGGTATTGGTACCATCGTGGGCTCTGCTGTCTTCAACATCCTGTTCGTGATCGGGATGTGTGCCCTGTTCTCCAAAGAGGTGCTGAACCTCACCTGGTGGCCTCTGTTCAGAGATGTATCGTTCTATATTGTTGGCTTGCTCATGCTCATCTACTTCTTTCTGGATAATGAAATTACATTGGGGGAAAGTATTGGCCTGCTGTCGTGCTACACCTGCTATGTGACATTCATGAAGTTCAATGCCAAAGTAGAATTTGTCATAAAAACCCTGCTGGGCAGCAACCAGGTGGACGAGCTGGAGGCGGCACCAAAGGTGAGTCTACTCCGTCCATCATTCATCTATCTGTCCTCTTCAATCAGTTCAGTTTTCCATCCATCCCATGCATCCACTCATTCATACATTCATGTTATCCTATTCCCTCTCCTTTGATGCCTACTCATTCATTCATCCATCCATCAATGCATTACGCAGTGTTCCCATCACAAACAACTCAGAGGTTTTAATTCATAAAAACTGAAGTAAAACATCTCTCAAAGCTGGAAATTGCAAACTGCGATTCAAAAAGGGAAAGTCCAGGTCTTGTATTTTAAGTGGACAGTTAACTGATGAGTGTATTGAGTTACATAATTTCTAGAAGGGATGACTGGCTGTTCCTTTGTCAGTATATTTTGGCTGGAATCTGGAAATCTGTGGATGACTGATCTCAGAAAGGCACTTGTTTGTCACAAGGAATAAGACCGTTTTTGGCTACTGACCCCATGAATAGTCACGCTCTTATACTGGGAATTACACAGGGTGTTGAACAGACAGACCTTTGTCAAGTAGACAAACCTTCTTGACTTCTTCTCTTGAGGGATATAAAGCTTGGTCTTAACCTGCCACCTGCTCGCACAGTGATCGACGTAGAGCCCGACTGCAGTCTCCTGTTGCTGACTAAGACAAGGAACGGGCTTCATCTTTACCCACTACTTTTATCGAGTCTCAGAATAGGGCTGAGCTGGTCCTTAAAATGTCCCACCTTTGATCACCTCAGACCAGCCTGAATTTACAAAGATCTTTCAGTCTAAATTTTGTATTCACCCCATTTTAAAATAACTTTCTTTTAGTGACAGGCAAAGCACATGATAGTTTTACAAGGCTTTTGAAGGTTGAATTGGAATTTAGCATATGGTGAAAATAAAAACCATAAATCCTAGTAGCAACTCTTCAATGCCACCAACACTTTCTTTAGCTCCCCTCGACTTCTCCCTGACATTGTAAAAAGTCTTCTGACTGTAAGGAAGGTCATTGCTCTGAGTGTTTTTTTGTCTCGTATTTATCATTGTGACATAAGTATTTTTCCTTTTACAATGTGAGTCCCACTCACAGGATGTTGATTGATGACAAGACACTTACCAATCACTTCATAATCACCCGACTACTCACTTTATGTTAACCGGGAGGAGACAATGCAGTCATTTTAAGATTAGTTTAGAGTGCTTTATGCTTTGTTTAAAACAGCAGATTCCAAACAATCATGTGATAATAATAATAATAATGTTACACAGTCTCTTGATCAAGTCTGTCTCTGCGTTTTCACCTGTCTATGTTTGTAATTTGAGGTCACATAGGTTGCTGTCTGATGTAATCTCAAACGGCACACAGGTGGCAAATACTAAATGATCTAAGAGCAGTTTGCTCACAGCCTCTCAGACCGACCGTCACCTTTTCTTCATTCTCCAAATAGTTTACTGCTGCACATCATCTGGGTTTGTTTGTCTGGAAACATTCATTACAAGTAACACTTCATTGAAGGAGGTAACTCATTTCGTGGTGGTGATTCAGGCCGTAAAAAGTTTGAGGAAACAGACAAGTTCATGGTCACCTGCTTTAAAAAGTCCTCTCCTTAAAGGCTTTGCTAACTGTTTTCTTTTTTCTTAATAGTGGATTGGCAATAATACGTTTGTACCTTTTAGTGTCTTCATCATCCTTTTTGTGTTTTATTTCAACTTAATGCATTCACATGGATTCAGTTACTGTCAATTAGACAGACCCTTTTTCCCCAGACACATGCATGCAACATCTGATTTGTTTTTGTTTTTTCCATCGCCCCTTTTCATTATATTTTTGTTGTAAACATGTGAGCATGTGCGTTTGGGTGCTGATCAGCATTGTTACAGAAGCACTGTTTGACATGCGTGTCCTTCTGGGAATCCGCTGTTCTTCAAGCTGCCACCCCTCAGCCCAAGAACAGCTTTTCTCCTTTTGTCACCCGGCACTTGATGTCCACTGGCTTGCCCTCATGTGTCGGTAACTGCTTGATAATCCCTCAGGTTAATGCTCTCCAATCCCCTTAGCGCCACTAATAATAGTCAGATGCTCTCTGGGAGGAGCAAGAATCAGCAGATCACTGGAAGAAAACCGAATGGCTGCCGTGTCCTCGACCTGGAGCCATGCTCAATAACCTTTGTGTGGTTTATATTTGATTATATTCGGGTGTTTCAGGTGGGGTTTCACAGTGAATAGAGTGCCTACATAGAGAGGGAGAGAGAGAAGATTTGATGGTCTTCTTGCTGATGGCACTAAAGTCGACAATCTTCTCTGATCCCCTTATCAACTGCTTACCTTTCGGTGACGGCAGAAAACATGCAGCTTGGCACACTGTCCCTCAACCTCTGCAGAGCACTTACGACATGTTCAAATTTTCCTCGCATCCAATAATATCAGACCTGGATTACAATGCAGCAGCAAAAGTGCATCTGCAGCTTCGCAAAATGTTTAGCTGAAGGTTTCTTGTCATAAATATCCACACAGAGAAGGAAGATGAATTGGTCAATCGTTATTATAGATTACATGTTGTTGTTACAGTTCTATTATTGCCTTTAAGAGAAGACAAGATCATCTAAGATGCAGGACTCCAACTGAGGATGCACTTTGAATTGTTTCATGTTGTTATCCAACCAGACACAGCTGAAATAATACAACACTTATTCAACTACAGTGACACTTCATGCAGTCCATATGGTTCTGTTCTCGGGTCGGCCCAAAGCCCGTCTCATGGATTCTTTACTCGCACAGCATAGCTGACTTTTGAATTTCTGATTATTGTGCTCATGATTAAAACCCTCTGTCTGTGTTCTGTTGAGCGCATGTTGCTTTTCATCCACTATATTTTCTGCATTAAATTGCAGTGAGAATGAGCACTTGTGTAGCTGAAAAGGATTTTAATAGCCGATGAAAGGGAATTGTTTGACAAGCCTTCACAAGACCTGTGAAGGTTGTCGCGGGACTTTACACGCAGGCTTGAAAAGTAGCAGTCTAAAAGGAGTGATCTCTGCAGATTAATCCTACCTAAGTCCCACAGCTCGGACAGTCAGTCAGAGAAAGAGAGGTTGGGAGAGGGATGTGGGGGCGATGGAAATGTGTGGAACATCTGAAGAGGTATTCCGACTGTGTCTCAATGATGACAAAGATGATGGTTGGGATGAAAGATGGGAATCTGTAAGCTTTTAAGATTTTGAATTATTGTGTTTCTTGACCGGAGTCGGGACCAGCAGGAGCTGCTCAGTTAGTGTTGGAAAACGTTTTAACCTTTGAGCTTTTACCTTCTTGCTTTGGGTCACAAAGCGGTTGCGTTTGATCATGAACAAGCCTGGATTTGCTTGATGGACAGGTTTTAATGCCTAAATGCTATTTATCAAAGTTTGGATGCCTATCATATGTAGGTTCCCCCAAAAGAAAAAGTTGTAATGTAAAATAAATTTCCCTGCGGCTTTTAACGATGTCCCATGACGAGCTGCTCTGTTTAAGTCAGTGACAAGAGATGGAGACCGATAAACCACAGCTGAGCTTTATGTGAAACTACAAAATTGACAACATGCCCCTTCCTACTTTAAAGCAAAATTGTTAGATATTAGCAGTGCAGTGAAACAGCTGATTTGGGAGCTACATGTCAGTTATCTGACTGTTATATTTGATTTTATTCCTACAACCTGCTGGGCGACAAGCAAAAAGTGTTCTTGTTTTTTTTCACTTCACATGCTGGAATTGATTTTGAGGTTTTTGGTGATCGGCGATTGGAGTGAACCTGATGAGAGATTTAACGTCATGACTCTCCAGAGTCATGTGAGCAGGTTATGGAAGGTGTCCATAATTTACTTTGTTATGTTAATTGTTAACATATATATATATATATATTAACAATTAACATATATATATATATATATATATAACATATACATATATATATTAACAATTAACAATTATATATTTATTGATATATTTATGTCCACACTAAAAACTTCTAATTATTCATAACAAATCAACTTGGCTATGAGGACTTGGTCACACATTTACGAAATCACATTGTGTGTTTGAAGCCAATGAGTAGTGGACAAACATGTGACAAGTGTATAGGTTGCTAACCCTTTAAAAACAACACTAGTCTTGTTTTTACTGCCATAACAGCTGTAGTCTGTTTTTAAGTAATACATGAATACAGAACATAACATAAAATTGGTCCTTATTATATTACATTGTAACTGCTAAGCTTTCTAATCACTTTCACTCCATTTATTACAACAACACGCTTATATTGTGGTTAGAAATGGAGCCCTTTGCTATATTCTTCCCCAGCAAACGTGCATTGATTCATGAACTTCAAACATTCAATCAAAGCTTTTTATTCAGCTTGACTTTGGAGCAACGTGACATTTTTCCACAGAAGGTCACGGGGTGGTTGCTCCCGTTGTGATGTTACCCTCCTCCACTGGGAAAGCTACAGAGTCAAGTAGAGTACGTTTGTGAGGAAGATGACCCGCCCGAGCAAATCATTTCAAATGTTCCAGTTGAAGCAGTCATTGCTAAACATCTTTTTTTGTTTACGTTTGACTAAACAATGTCTCATTTGTGTGTCAGTATTTCACTACTGCATGTGGTTACATTGCTGTGATTACTCCAGTGGAAGGATTTTACATAGTAAAAGTAAATTCACTATAGAGGATAAAGATGTCTTGTTCTTGTGAGTAAACAACAGCCGTTCTTTCCCCGGTCGTATCATCTCTGCCCGTGTAGTACAATCCAACAACACCACACAGTCTAAACAAATATTGGAAATATGAAACTATGAATTTCTGTAGGCCTTATGTACTTGATTGCATATAATATATGCATTTACGTGACTGCCTCTACGCCACATGTGATGAGTAAACATGCGTGTTGATTTCTTTCTCTCTGTTTCAAAAGGCCGATGCCCCCGGGGCAGCTGGAGACGACGAGAGCAAGCTGACCGTGAGTTTGTTTTGTGTGTTTGACATTCCCCGTATGATCCCTGTGGCATCTGATGCAGGTCATGATCATGGGCCTGCTTGTATTTACAGTAGTCTGTATCGGTCAGTGGCTGACTATGTATCGGTCAGCCTTCTTACAAAAAGAAGCTGTATGCCATTGAAACAACTGCTCACGAAGGTATTTTTCTTCCATCACCCTGTAATTTGGAAATGTATAATAAGTGAGGCTAAATATTGATCAAGCATTGAATATAATTTATATTTATGAATATTTCTGCATGTGTGATATATTTATAGGCCAAACCGAGGCTGCAGAGGGAAGGCAGCTGTGCCTCTCTACACAACTCACTGATGAGAAACAGCATCTTCCAGCTCATGATACACACTCTCGACCCTCTCAGTGACGAAGGTATGGGTAAGCAAATAAAGAGCACAACACCACACAAACATACACATGCACACAAACACACTGATGGAATAAGATATGACATTAGTACTATGAAGGAGAGACTGTGAATGCAAATTAAATTAACAATATTTTCTTAAATAAACAGCTTCAGGGGAAATAATGTTTAGGGTTAGAAATAGGTTCAGAAAATGTTCATAAGCACAGCGTTCGGTTGTGGTACCATATTGGAAGATCTTCATTCATCCAACAACTTTCCGGAGCTCTTTCCTAGAAATGAATCCTACCGCGTTGAAAAACATGTTGCTCCCCATTGCACGTGCTATGTATATACAATACTCAACCACAGATGTGCAAGATACACTGCTGGGCTGACTGGGGCTCTTTGATTTCAGGACAATTCAAAGAGAAGGCATCAATCCTTCACAAAATGGCCAAGCAGAAGTGTAAAGAAGAAGCTGCCTGTGCCAACGGTGTCGGTGAGCAACCGTGCTTTGTGAAACTATGGGAGCATATTTGTCCCACTGAAAGAGGAAGTAACAAACCAATCATCAAATATTTAACAAATTAGAAACTGTCTCTGTCGATGAATGATGAAAAAATACTTAAAAGTAATGGAATGACTGGACCTTGGGTAAAGAGAAGTTGTTGCCTGATGTTTTCCCTTAACTTCTCCCTCTTTTAGCCTGAAACTTTTTTAAAAGGGCCTTTTTGCAGAAGTAACAATATATTTCTAAGTGAAAGTAGGTTGTAGTTTCAATGACTAATTTGTACATTCCATCTGTGATTTGTTCTATTTGCTGTACGCGTTGCTGTGTTACACTCGTGAGGAGGACCTCAGAAAATTAACAAGTATCTTTTGTTTGTCAACATAGGGCCGCCCTCCCAGACACAAGCTTCAAGAAATGCAAATTGTACAGTTTCTGCTCTTTTTTATTTACATAATTTTTCACTTTTCTGTTATTTCAAATGAATACTGTTCCCGTAAACATGTTCCTTAAACCATATTCTTATCTGGCCTCTTTTTCTTTCCTCAAGCTGATAAAAACATCCCGAACAGTTCAAATGTTGCGGTGGAAGTCACACCACCCATGAACGGTGCGGCAGGAGGAGACGAGGTGCGCCTTTCATCTTTCAGCATTCCTCCAAGTTCACATGTTAAACCATAGATTTTATATTGAAAAATCATTATGTAAATAGTTCATGAGTGAATGTAAATGAATAATGTACAGTTGTTTTAAAGTAAGGAACTCTTTCTTCAGGATGAGGAGGAGGATGAAGACCAGCCTTTGAGCTTGGCCTGGCCAGACAGCACCAGGAAAAGGTTAACTTACCTCATCATCCTGCCCATAATCCTCCCACTGTGGCTCACACTGCCCGACGTCAGAAGAGAGGTGACAACACACACACACACACACACACACACACACACACACATATATATGTAAATGAAAAAAGTTACAGTTTGAACACAATGCAATCATTGATAGAAATCCTTATTTTTTGATTGCTGGTTCAGAGAAACCTAGAATTACTAAGATTACATGTGTACCTTATTGTGTTCTACCACACAAACTGCTCTATACTTTTCTCAAAATACTGTTTGATATAATGACGTTTTAATTAAAGGCTCTTGACAGGGCCAAAGAAGAATCGAGTGGTCGTTTGGTAGATGAACTAAAACCTTGTTTCTGTTGGGTTTTTAGACCTCAGCGAAGTTCTTCCCTATCACTTTCATTGGCTCCATCAGTTGGATTGCTTTCTTCTCCTACCTGATGGTGTGGTGGGCTCACCAGGTACTTCATACACACACTGTCTCTACTTCCATGTACACCGACTCTGTGGTCTATTCTACTGCCGAGGCCTTTCTCATGAATCAGTCCAGCAGTCGGTGTTGAATGTGTGACTACGCCGGCTAATCCCAACTAATCTGCCGTGATCCGAGGCCAGATCAGCCTGCAGCGCTCTATTTTGACCGTGCAGATGCAGACCTGGCCTTGCAGCAGGAGGTCATGTGAGCAAGATGGAGCCTCCGGCTGCTTTTTGAGTTCACACGAGTGCAGAGCGCTGTTAGTCAGTCGAGCTTTGTTAGGTGAAGCGATGGATCTTTATTGTCCCTTCCTGGCGCATTCCCGTCCTCACACCTTCCACACTTCCCTGCCAGGTTCTAAACTGTGCGACATTGAGCCACTTATTCTTGCTTTCAGGTTGGAGAAACGTTCTGGATCACAGAGGAGATAATGGGTCTAACAATATTAGCAGCCGGCACCTCAATTCCTGACCTGATCACCAGTGTGATTGTAGCGCGTAAAGGCCTCGGGGACATGGCCGTGTCCAGCTCGGTGGGCTCCAACATCTTTGATATCACCGTGGGGTGCGTCAAGCAAGAAAACACTGAGTGTAGCGTCTGTTTTTTGTTCGTCACTCGCAACCTGAATAACTCCTCTGTGCTGTTCCCCCTCCAGTCTACCGTTCCCCTGGCTCGTCTACAACATCCTCAACGACTTCAAGCCAGTTGAGGTTAGCAGCAACGGCTTGTTCTGCGCCATTGTCCTCCTCTTCCTCATGCTTCTCTTTGTCATCATCTCCATCGCGTCTTGCAAGTGGAGAATGAGCAAGATCCTGGGCCTCCTCATGTTCATGCTTTACTTCGTCTTCCTCGTCGTTAGCGTGATGCTTGAGGACAAAGTCATCGTCTGCCCCATCACCATCTGAGGGAGAAAGAGAGACAAATATGATGCACCAATGCGCTCACGTGCACAGTGGGATTTAGGAGAGAGAGAGAGAAGAAATGCCGACCCGGACACAAACTGTCTCTTATCTGTCTCACTTACATACACAGTAGAAGGCGGCATGCAAACAGACACACACACACACATGCAAGTGAAAGGTGAAGAAAACTAAGCGACACAGGTTGTGGATGGCAGTTAGGCGGAGACTCACTGACTTAAATCAATTCAGAAAATTCCTACCGGTGCATCACACACGTCCAGCAGTTGGCAAACAAGCCTGTACATCATCGACCATCAAAAGGAGGTCTCTCTCTTTGTACCGTGTGACTACATCCAGTGGTCTTTGGGTTGAAAACTGATGGACAACTAATGTGAACGCCAAGATGGAAAGTTTCAATTGAAGATCACCAGAGATTGTTTTGCTTTTTTAACGAGAGGACCAGGTGGCAGAAGTACCTCCACTACTCATGCAAGAGGTTAAGCGCATAAACCCAATACGGGGGCTGGAAGAGACTTTAATTTAGATTTGCTCATTTACCCCCTATATGGCTTTGCAATGGCATCAAATGAGAAATATTGAGTGTTAAAAAAACGTTTTTCAATACAGTTTATTTGAGGACATTTTTGGCAGAAATGATTACTTAAGTCCTATTCATGGTAGGATACTATTCTATGATAAGATACATAAATGCTAAATAGTTACGTTAGGGCTTACACAGATAGTAGGTTCTATGGTGTCGTCATGCTCAATATATTCCAACTTTTTCATGTCATAAGCTCTTGAGCGTGTATTTTTCAGTTCAGTCTGCCTTTACGTTGCACTTTGCATTAAAACGTAATAACCAGGTCAGTGTGGCGTTTCCCAGCAGATGACGCGGTTTCGACAGACTGGCGGACTGAAGATTAGTCTTCTCCGTTGTGTTTTACTTCATGAACTCAAAAGGTTTTTCATGTATTCCTAAAGTTCAATATCAACAGGCATCCCCGGGCTTCTTCTGCCATGTTTTGATGTTAAACAACTCATGTACTGTATAAGATATTACGCCACTATGCTCACATGTTGGGACATAGAGGTTGAATTCTTAGAATTCAATTATTGTAAGAAACAGCTAAGTAATCCTGTAATTTCATTGTAAAACCAAACATGGACTATCGAGGCTTTATTCATTGCTGCACTTTAGCTTTTGTCTAAACGCTCTCTTTTAGATTTAAAGTGAAGTAACGTTGAGCAAAAAGCATGTGACTTTATCGTCACTAGGGTCCTGCTGTAGGTATCAGTGGGTATCTGTTTCAATCAAATCCTACAATCAAGTTCCTCTGGATCAAACAATAACACAATAAAGAGCTGTCTCTAACTCAATGAATCCGTTTCCATTTTTCTTATTGTTTTACAAAATTCAAGTCAATTTTTCTTCCTTGAGTTTCAATGAGCAAAGTCAAACTGTCCTTAAAACCATCCAGAAACATACTTACTAATGTGTGCGGATATAATAGTGACCTATTGCCCATCACATAAATCAACTTTGTCCTTTTCTGTCTTCATCACCGCTTGTTGCATGAATGCTTCACGTGCGCTACAGCACACAGCGTTACACTTCTTTATGTTGCATGCTTTCAAATATACCTGAAGCACACCTGAATTCCCCCAGAAATATTCATCAGGGTCCTTCAATCGTATTGTAGACATCTCTGGATACACTCTCAGACTTTTATATCCCGTCCTAAATTCCCAAGAAACCTCATTTTTATTGACAGGTCAAATTGATTGTCCTTTATTTACATTTAACATACTGTATACATTATTTCTTTGGATGAATGAATTGGGTTTTCCTGGTTACATTGCCATTGCGTTATAAGTTTAACACTAAAGGGTTACAGGTATTTCTCGCATAATTTAAAACATTTGTTTTATTGTGTGAAAATGTGTGTAAAAGATTTGTAAACTATAACACAAGACTGTATATAAGCTTGTGTTTATATTCACAGCCAGCACATACTTGAACTCCTGCTCTCACATTCCAGACATACACTGTCTTTACAGCAGCGTTGTCTTGCGGTGGTGGATTATGTAAAAGTGTGTACGAGTGAGCACATTTTGAAATATATGTAACAATTCATCCTCGTTATGTTAAGTATGGAATAATATTTATGTGCTACTTGAATTGTGTATCATACTGTAAAAAATATATATCGTTCCTCTGTACAAAATGCTATATTATAAAAATTAAACGGCAATTTTCATTGCAGGTGTTGGGAGTCGATTTAGAAACTTTTTTCTGACATTTTAAATCCCACCCCCCCCCCGAAAAGTCGGGTCACTTTTCCCTCACATACCGCTCACAACACCGGTCAGATATGCAGTGTCATCCATCGGGACGCAATCTGCTTTTCTTTGACACAAGCCTCTTACAGCAGCAGGCCTGGTCCGCTGCCTGATCCGCATGATGCAACAGTGATTCACTAAACACCTGTGCTCAACCAATAAACAACATGCTCACCTGTTCCTCTTCACTGACATCTAAGGACATTCACTCACCAGACTTAGTTGAGGACAAACTTGCCATGTCTTTGTCCCACATGTAAACGTGTCCGCTGCAGACGAGTCCTCCAGACAAGCATCTTGTGACGGGAAGGAGATTAAGGTTCTAAATAATTCTACAATTTAAGTCTGGACTCAGACTGCGGGCTGAGGATTTAAACAAAATGAATTTGAAGCACGTCTTTTTTTTTTATTGGTAACGTTAGAGGTTATTTGAGATGAGTGAAGCTACAATGAACTGTGAAAGATGTAGATACTGAGAGCAACAGGCGAATGTTCTGAGTGTACAGGTACATTTTCTGTTTCACAATTGCTCATTACTTTGTGCATAAATAAAGAAAACAAAAATTTATGTGTGTCCACATAATCAGTCTCGCATTCCATTTCCGAGCAGCAGCAGACTTGGCGCCATCACCGGTTTGAGACATCCTTATTTGCTAACTGTAAGAGAGAGGAGTTAATGATCCCCGCACATCATTCATTCTGGGGGGTTTTCTCTTCGTGGTGGCCAAGGGACTTTGGTAGCTGGTGACCTGAACAGTAGAAAAAAATGCTCAAAAAGTATTTAAAATCTCACTAGGGCATGTGAACATGAAATATCAAGGCTGCCTCAAAGAAAACGCATCCAACCTGCTTATACGAGCCTTTGATCGTTCAGTCAAAGTGAATAATAAATCTGATAAGGAGACCATTTGTTGAATTGTCAGTCAGAGGGCAGATGCAACGCGCTGTGATTGTGTTGTTGTCGCATGTCGCACTGTAGACCTGCAGGCGGCGGCAACGCGCCGACAAACGTCAAACCCAAAGAAGAAGAATGAAGCGGAAGCTTCAGCTGCGTTTAGTTTTGTAACAACACATTTTATTGTTTGAATGTTGCGTGGATCCTGGACCGACTGTTCTCGCGTGCCCCTTCATCCTCGGCAGTGCGCGGGATCAGCAGCATGGACCCGTCCGAGCCACAAGGACCGGAAGCCGGTCTCGGGCCACAGCGGAGTCCCGAACCCGAACTTTCTGCAGCGATGCGGGCCAAAATCGAGCGGAACAGGCAGCAGGCGGTGATGCTCCGGCAGGCGCGACTAGCGAGCCGCTCGCTGGCCGCCGTGGAGGGGGCCACCTCGGCCAAAATCTCCAGGACCATCGACTCTGGCGCAGGCTTCTTCATCGAGGAGGAGGAGTGCGGGGAGGAGGAGCAGAGGACCAGGAAGGTGGTGCATCAGCCAGGTGCGTGTTTGCGTGTTTGTGCGTCTGCGAGCGGGGGGCGCGCCGGGCTTGTTTAAGTGTTGCGTGTGTTTTGTTTGCAGCCCCAGTCATCGAGCCGGACTACCTGCTTTGCGATGATTGTCAAAAACCCTTCATGGACTCGTACCTCAGCAACAGCTTTGACCTGTCCGTCTGTGATAAGTGCAGGTACGCACGCACGCACACGCACACCCGTATGGGCACGAACACGCAGACGCTGAGTGGCTAAAACATTTAATGTGGTGTTTTCGTGCTGCTTTGGAAAAAAAGCATAACATGTCTAAAATGTCAATGAATTGAAAAGTGTGAAAAGTGTACGCCTCTTTGTCCCTCAGAGACAACGAGGAGAAGCATAAACTAATCTCCAGAACTGAGGCCAAGCAGCACTACTTGCTGAAGGACTGTGACCTGGACCAGAGAGAGCCTCCACTCAGGTTCACGCTGAAGAAAAACCCTCACAACCCCACCTGGGGGGACATGAAGCTTTACCTCAAGCTGCAGGTACCGGCTGGATGAAAGGAACCATGTGTCAGTACGTTGTTCCGTGTCATCTAACGTTGATGTTCAGCAGGAACTATGATTTGCTAATGTTACTGTAGTTTTCAACAAAATGACCTGAGGCCTGAATAAGTCATCGGAATCTTAAATGTAATTAAACTCCATTTATTTGAGAGCACAAAATAACAAATTAAAAATCTGCCTCAAAGGGCTTTTCTGCTGGTCTGTTTATGTCATTATTAAATAAAAGTACCTTTTGGATTTTTAACTGTTGCTCTGAAAAACAACGACATCTGTTCAGTTCAGAGGCCGTGGGCTCTTGAGTACTTCACGATTTCATCAACTCCAGCAGTGAACCAGAAAAACTGTTGATCCATGGAATAATCGTATCGAATAGAAAACAGTAACATCTCCATGATTGACAAACAATATTCCTTTTCTTTTCCTTGATTTAGTTCAATCAAATCTATCCTAATAGATTGGAGTGGATACGCCCTCAGTGTTTTGCATGTGTTAATGGGTCCATGTGAATCGTGTATTTGTACGTGTTACCCAGGTGGAGAAGAGGTGTATGGAGGTCTGGGGTTCAGAGGAGGCACTGGAGGAGGCCAAAGAGACGAGGGAAGAGAACCGAGAGACACAGAAACAAAAACGCTTCAACAAGAAGGTCAAAGGTCGGCCACCTGTCTTAGCGCAAATACCAAGGCATTTACATAACGAATTGTCGCCACATCAACATTTGTATTTGGGTGAGCGTCGGCTCCATGCGCTCGGGACGTGACGATCTTTCATGTTTGTGTGTCAGAGCTGCGCAGGGCGGTGAGGAGCAGTATGTGGACCAAAGACACCAGCGTCCACAAACATCAGTACGGACCAGAAGAGGTGGTGGATCCGGAGGAGGACCTCTACAAGAAAAGCTGCACCACCTGCGGACATGAACTCACCTACGAGAAGATGTAGATACTCGCGCTCGCACACACCAACACGTATTGCTTTGATGGGAAACGAAGCCTCTCAGACGCTTAATGCCTACAGCTGTGTTCTATTTCATGGATTTCTACTGGTATTTATTAATAAAACAAATTCCGATGAATTACAAGGGGCCAAAATCTCCTGTGTGGCACTTGAAAATACCATATTGCGTTAATGACCAGTATAACTACAACTTTTCTACCTTTTTTAGGAAAACATTTTGAGGAGGATTCCATTTTTAGGATTTTGTTTTTATATCTCTGCCACATGATTCTGTGATGTTTTCATCATGTAAAGTGTGTTAAGCTTGACTTCACCCTTTGTGGTATTTGACTCAACAGCATGAGAGCACAAGTCCTATTTCATTTCTCCATTTTCTTTCATCATTCACTATGTAACTTACATTCCCAAATTAGAAATAAGACCTTTATCATTCACCTACTCTTGGCGAAGACAAAACGATCCGTAGACCTGTCTGGACTGTAGTGGCTCGGCCTATGAACTCATACAGCTATGAAGAGACAAGCTGCCATTGTACAAATTGATATTCATACTACTGCAATACTCAAACTAAAGATGTCAAATTCAACAAAACTGAGATGCTTCCAATTTTACAAGTATATTCCATCATTTTTCTCACTGTTGAAACCCCAAATAAGTTAGTTTCTGAAGTGTAAAACTTCTCTGCCTTGTTCAGTTTGACACTGAGAAAATCATAATATATATGAGTGCAGCTATTTGATGGGCAACAGTCATTTGAAATACCTTTAAGGAAAATGCGGAAGGATTAAAGCTCCTACCTAGTTACTGAAAGACTAACCAAAAAATGACGATCTAAAATTGAAAAACTTAATTTTTTCCAGACACCTACTTTTAACCATTAAAAAAAAAAATTCCTCAGATCCAAGAGTGAATCGTTTGACAAATTACTCATGGTATGAAGTGTTAAGTTTTCAAATAACCAATTCATATGTAGACAGAATGTAAACTTGTGCAAGTATGAGTGCTCTTAATTCCAAATGTTTAGGGGTTTTGCATAAGGAAATGGATTGTAATTCAACTACTTTCATTTTAAGCATACAATAAGATGCGTAGGGCTAGGAAATTAAATGGGTCCTTCAAATATCCTAATGAATCTACAAGATTACATTTGAACATATTGAAATCAGTTCCCTTTAACATTAGTTTGGTTATTCGACACAGGACTGCTAATTATTTCATCATTTGACTCAAGAGTGGCGCCATATTCCAGTTCTAAAATCTCTGAAGCAAAGCCATATCACTGTCCTGACTGTTCTCTTTAATCAAGACAATAGACATGTACTGTTCACGACTCAGGCTTTCACCGGTTGTCCTGTGTTTAATGTCACATCTTTATCTTTTCTAGTCATGGGTCAGGAGTTAATATAACAGCAAGAGACAAGTGTCAATGTACAATCTTTATTTATTCACTTAAACATGCAAGACAAACAACCACCTGGTTTAAAATTCAAAGGTTCCCTGAGGTTCAGATGTCATAAACACAAATGAGTCATCCGTACTGTCGACCTTGACACCCACAACTTCTCCCTATAGTGCAAGAGAAACAGAAAATGTTTTCAAACCTGCAGTTCATGGAGTCATTTTATGAGAGCGCCCTTTTCCGCAGAAGCGCTATGCAAAGTCGTTAAATTTGGTGAGAATCGATGCAATGAAGTTTGCACTCCTAAACCATTTTTTTAGACGTTGCTACTTACATCTCCAAAGTACTTCTCTATGAGGGCATGAGCAGCCTGGTAGACCAGATCATTGTCGTGGTTCTGCAGCATCTCAATGCGGTCCAGGCCTCCCAGCTCTTCCACCAAAAGGGTAAGTTTCTCCGTCTCGCCAAGCTTCTCTGCTGCCTGTCGTCATGTACAACTACTGAAACCGATCTGCACGTTCTAAGTCACACTACTGCAAGCTTTACAATATAGTGCAAGAATTTGATTTTTTCCATCCCCTCACCAGGAAAATGTTGTTTATTGCTTCCAGTATGACCAGAATGACTTTTGCATCTTTGACCTGCAACAGGTCAATGATTGCCTCCAGGGCTCCGCTCTGCACCAGATTGACCACCTGCTCCACAGCGCCACCACTGGTGAAATTTGTTACTGCCCACACTGCCTCCCTTTGAGTTTTAAAGTCTCCCTTAAAAAAAAAAAAAAAAAAAGATTGTTGAGCTACTTTCATAACATTTGTTGTCCATCAACATCCATGAAAACAGTCCTTTCTTTTTAAGTACCACTACAGTATGTTCAACATGCCTAAGAGGGGAAAAGAATCTAGATTGGGACGGCTTACATTTCTGAGCTGTTCCACGAGAGCAGGGAGCAGACCGCAAGTGATGAGCTGTTGGATTTGTCTACTTGGCCCAGCAGCGATGTTGGACAATGCCCACGCGGCCTCCTTTTGCGTACTGGCCTTCGGGTGCCTCATCAGTTGAGGTAGGACTTTTAAAACGCCAGCATCAATGGCCGTCTGGGTCTGCAGGTCGGACCCACTTACGATGTTGCCAATTGATCGGAGAGCTGGGGTCTGGAGGTTAAAAAAAAAAAAAAAAAAAAAAAAAAAGTTAATGACTTGTGAAGGTGCAGACCTGACATCTCGTGCAGTGTTCAAACCCTTGTAGTTGTAGAGCACGTTGAAGAAATTGAAGGGTTGAACGACCCACAGTACCATGACACTGAGCTCCTCGTGGCTCATCAGCTCCACCAGCCGAGGAACGATGCCAGTTTTCACCACAACATCAATACGTTCATTGTCACCCTCAGACAGGTAGGAGATTGCCCAGCATGCATCAGATAAGATGTCTTTATCGTTGAGATGGAGCAACTGGATCAGAGACGGTAGCAGCTGAAGGAACAGTTACAGCACATGAGTCATCCTCCTGGAAAGGATTGAATCTTCTGTGGCTCCGAGAGCAAAGCTCAGTCACTTACGCTACGGGGCCGCTGCAATTTCACTTACCTGCTGGACAGCAGACAAGGGTGGAAACGGGTTCTTATTACGGCACAAGTTGGACAATGTCCATGTCAGGTTTCGCAGGTAGCCAACCTGTGATGAAAGCATTAAGACTAGAGACGCACTATTCAGACTTTCACTTGATGTTTCAAATTAAACTCAATAGTCAGTCGTCAAAGCTCCTTGAGGCTAGCAGCGCAACGCTAACTTCTCAGCAAACATACACCCACAACTCCAAATAAACGGTTTGTAATTTAGTTGCTTGTGGAGAATTTTCTTCAGACGTTAAATGCTGTCAATGAACCTAAAGTATAATGGAAAAAGTGAAGGGACTAGTTTTAGCTACTTTTGACTTACGGGTGTGTCTGGGGAGATGCAGGCAAGCAAGGCTGGGACAACATTGCACTCGATCAGGATGTCCCGATAAGCTGCACCATCACCTGTTTTTTAATGTTAGTACAGCAAGGAACAAGGATATTATGTGTACTAGATTTATTTTTGCATTAGCGTCAATTATATAGTCGGACATGATTTTTGAAATATATTTTGCACGTCACCCGCAATGTTTCCAAGAGCCCAGACAGCCTGTTCACTGATGTGCAGCATTGGTGAAGCAAGCAAGGCGATGAAAGCTGGTACAGCCCCATGTTCCACCACCTGACGAACAAATGCATGCAGAGGAATTTTAAGCCACTGAGCACTCGGGTAGCCATGCTGGTGATTCCCCGTGGTTTAATACGGGGTTCACACCTGTTGAGTGTGCCAAGATGTTCCAGAAGCAATGTTTGTAAGGGCCCAAGCGGCTTCAAACTGCAGAGTGGCCTCATCGTCCATACTCAAGAAGGATACAAAGCGGGACAGCAGGCCTGCATCGATGATCTCCTTCAGAGGGAGATTGCGCTCCTGAGACAGCAACTTCCTGGAGGAGGGGGGGAAATTGAGGACAATATATATCAGGTTAGTTTCACCTACTTCCATTTGTTTTAATGTGCAACAGGAAACACTAGACATTTAAAGTAGCCCAATAAGGTGTTTGGTAAGACTGCAATTACGAATACCCTGGATCTCAATTTGGTGCTCCAGCCCCCAACTAGCAAAATAGTTCATTAGGGTTATCAAATTGGCATTTTTTGTGTGACGCAGGTTACACTAGTCCATCACTACCAGTGATCAGTCGCGATACCAATCACTATTGTGATCAGCATCACCACAATTATGATGATCAACTTTATTTTATTTTAAAGCAGCACACAGGTGCATCATGTGCCGCACTTTTCGGTTTACAGACATTTAAAAAAGGCTCCCCGATGTTCTCACCTGGCTGCCTGACATCCCCGAGTTTGTGACTCCCTGGAGTCGGAGTTCACGTCTCTAACGATGTCCTCGATGGAGAGTAACGCCACCTAAATGAGAGGCAGACGCAGCGTTGGAGGCTCCGCTGGCTGCAGCGACATTGTAAAAAAAGGTTTCCGGAATACCGACCATCTCGTTGGAGATGTAACTGGGAGAGTGGGCCTCCTCGTCCTGGAGAGACGACAGCGAGATGTTTCTCCTCTTCAGGAAACTCTCATTCTTGTGCGCTTTGCGGAGCTCCACGCACACGGAGATGCGTTTCTCTCGCAGTTTCTGCAAGAGGTCGAGATGCGTTGTCGGTCACAAAAAGAGTATTAACACGTACGACAGTGGAAATTCAACCGCTTACTGTTGGATCTTTCCCTTTGTTTTTGAATTTGGAGATCCGCTCGTCAACAACGTTTTTGGTCGGCATGGCGGCTGTTGACGGAGAGTGGACGCGCTCTCGGCTTGACGCAAACCGTCAGCCCGGCGGTTATAAGGAGGAGAACCAGCTCAGGTGGACCTGATTAGCTGTGATGATTGACACGCGCAGCTGCTTGCGTGTCAATCAATAAGCAAACCGCTTTCCCTTCAGCTCCGAATAGGTCTGGCAAAGGTCTGTAAGCTCTTTTTGTAGAACTACATATTTTAGAATAATTGGTATTTTTTTTATTACTTTGTCTTTAGTGGCCATTATAACATTTAGTCCAAGGCTTTTGTTCTGACGTAAATTGATGTTCCTTGTGTGTCTTAGATGAACTTGTACCTTGATGTACGAATTGCTTGAAGTTGTTTATTGAAGTCTTTTGGAAAAAAAATATACAGAATTCCTGGAAATAGTCAAACAAGTAACTCGGAATCATGTGTTCTGAGACAGTAGGTGGCAGCATAGCACTAATTTTCTCTTATTTAACGTTTGAGTGCGTACATATGATTTAATTGTTAGTATGTATTGTTAATTCCTTATGCATCAATTATATTTTAACTTCATCAC